CCACGGCTCTCTGCACGGGCTGACTCCCACGACTTATTGCCAGGTCCCAACACTTGTGGCGGTACAGCCTTTTTGTTTTTTTGGTTTTTTTCCTTGAAAGAGGCCTCAAGAAATAAGGGAGAGTTGTTATCTTTAGAAGGAAGAGTTTGACTTCAAGTCTTTTAGAAGCTTCAATCACTCCTCATTTTGGAAGTCCCTCCTGTATCATAGCAAATATAATAGTGTGCACCCACACCCCTCATCAATATTATACCTGCACATAACTTTGTGAGTCAAATGTATTTGAATAGTAGTTGAGATAAGTTGACCTAATGTTGTGTTTTGAAGACATTAAGTAAATATTGATCCATTTCTAACTTGCAACTTTCTTTCATGGTTTTAAAGTAACAATTTTTTTTCAGGTCTTAATTATTTCCATAGTCTCCTATAAACTCATAGACCCTGTCGCCTCTTATGCCACTGGAAGCTGTCTACACAGAAAGAGATTGGGTCCGCCCTCTGTGTCCATGTATCTATAATTTTTGCATTTGCAAATTTATGAATTTTTTATTTTAAAAATAAGCACATGAAAAGATACTCATTTTCACTAATTATCAGGGAAATGGAAATCAAAAACACCCTCATGCCTGTTACAGTGACTACTATCAAAAAAAAACATACAAACAGATAAAGCAACTATGAATTTCCATACCAAAAAAAAAAAAAAAAAAAGGAAATAAGTATTGGTGAGAACGTGGAATAATTGAAACCCATGTGTTCCGTTAGTAAGAATGTAAAATGGTATAGCTGCCATGGGAAACAATATGGCCATTCCTCAACAAATTAAAAGCAGAATTACTATATAGTCTAGCAATTCCACTTCCAGTTATATACTCAAGAGAATCAAAAACAGTGTCTCAAAGACACATTTGTACACTTATGTTCATAGCAACATTATTCACAGTAGATAAAACATGGAAGCTACCCGAGTGTCCATTGACAGATGAATGTATAAGCAAAGTGTGGTCTATCCATACAATTGGAATATTATTTAGCCTTAAAAAGTAAGAAAATTCTGGCAAATGCTACAACATGGATAAACCTTGCAGAGAGTATGCTAGGTAAAATCAGTCAGCCACAAATAGACAAATCCTGTGTGATTCCACTGATGTGAGGTACTTAGAGGAGTCAAAATCAGAAACACAAAATAGAATGCTGGTTTCCAGGGATGGTAGAGAGGAAATGGGCATCACTGATAGGTATAGAGTTTCAGTTTCACAAGATGAGGCGAGTTCTGGAGATGGACGGTAGTGAGAGTTGTATAACATTGCCAGTATATTTGTTACCACCGTACTATACGCTTAGAAGCAGTTACAGAGGTACATTTTATGTTACATACACTTTACCACAAAAAAACAATTTAGGGACAAAATTCAACCAGTTATATCAAGGAAATTACATGGGATTTTTTTGTTTCTTTTTTAAAATGTCCATTTTTTAAAAAAAAAAAAAGGAAAGAAAAAGAATTTGTATTAAAAAACATGTAAAAGAAAAGAATCCTCCTAATGAGTTAGCCGTTCCTTCTTGGGGTCCTTCAGCGGGTGAGACGATGGAAAGCACCCACTGGACACCAGTCATGAGGCTGCTGTGAAGAACTGCTCTTGCTCCCCCACGTTACCCACGTGGTCAGAGAGGACCTCCCCCACAAGCCAATTACATCAACTTTTCATCTTTCCCTTCAAGGGGTTTTGGTCTTAGTAGAACTTACAAGAAGAAGGCTGGTGAGATCACAATGCTTTTGGAGAAGAAAATTTTTGTACTGACATGTAAGATTGCACACAGTGTCTGAGAACTCAGTCTGCACAGCACAGGAATGATCCTACAGCATCAAGCTGTGCGCCCCACCGTGTGGTTGGGATGGGTTAGAGTCAGGTTAACACCCATGGAGGTGACCTTCACCTTGCTCTGTTGTCAAGCTATGGTAAGTCTAGCTCGTTTTAGCATAAAACACCCTTTTTAAAAGGAGAAAGCTCCTGACCAAGGATCTGATTTCCAAGGAGGTACGGAAATGAGACTAAAATGACATTTAATCAACATAAATGACATCTAAAACCTTCTCCGTATGACATAATGGGTACATATGTGGGTCTAGACTCTGAAGGACCAAGTTGGAATCCTGCACCTGTCACTGACTGGCTCTGGGACCTTTTATAAATGATTTCACCTTGACCAGGTCTCGGTTTTCTTGGGTGTAGAATGGGCTTCATAATATCCCTCTCCTCATAAAGCTGTTGAGAGGATTAAATGAGATAATTAATGTACTGAAAATATTGAGCACAGTGCCTGGAACATAGTACATGCTTAATAAACGTCCATTGCAGAGGTTTCACCCGCCTCTCCCCTATGATCTCGACCCCTGGGAAGTAGGTGTGACAAGTCTCCTATCAGAGAAGATGCAGAACACCCTGGTTAACTGGCTCACCCGCATCAAATAGCTAGTGAACCTCAGAACTGGAATTCCTCCACCAGACTTCTGACCCCTAAGCTTGTGTTATTTTCCACCATGTCAGAGGTGGTAAACTAAACATCAGCCAATCATGCAACATTTATTTTAAAATTATTTCTACAACATTCTTGGCAGTACTCACCTCTTACTGCAATAAGAAACGGGGTTCAGGATATTCCCCCTTTAGGCCATGGAATTTAGAGGGACTTCTTTTTGTTTTAGAATATTTAGGGTTCATGATGACATGAAGAAATTAATACAGAGATCTGTTGTTATTGTTTTTACTGGTAGAACCCAATGAACATCTCTGGAAGTTAATTACTCCTAATCGAAAGGTGACAGTAACTCCATATTATTATTTCCTTGTTCTGGGCACTAGATGTCACACTAAGTAAAGTTTTAGAAGTCACTCTTCAAAGTAGGGTGTGGCAAAATGTCTAAACCTAGCTATGAAAAAATTACAGCTTTTACATAAAAATAAAGCTCAACTTTGTATTTCTAGTAGAATGCAGTAAAGATGTACTTGTACTAACAAAATTTCCAAACATAATGGCGAATCAGAAAATAGAGTAGCAGCCCATTTCCATGTCTGTTTTTAGGCACATTCCACTTAGATGCACATGTAAACGGTATTTCCTTCCAGAGACAAAGTGATTGTTTCAAGAGGCAGCTATGCACACATATCTGTGATCATGTGTGTCCAGAGATGAAAAAGGTACCCTTCCCTGGAGAAAGAACCAGATATGACCCTAACTTGCAAGAGGAGGAGAAGGGCAAAGAGAAGATGAGGGATATGAGGTTAATTAAACCTGAAATGGTCTCAGGGACGGATGTGCCATTACCTTTCTTGCTTGACTTAAGCAGAGAAGATGGGAGCAGATGGCCAACCTCCTCCAACTCGATTATTCCTTGATTGTGATTCTCAGAAATCTAGATGAGAATCGTGGGTTGAGATTTGGATGTACATTCTCCTTTTGGAAAATATATGTGTTTTTTTTTAAATGTTAAGGAACGTGGACTCGGTATGTAAATGAATTAGATTAAGTAATATCCTATAACTTGAATGTTACCGAAACTTCAAAAAGTTTCCATTGAAATGCTTGGAATTCATAGATAGGAAGCTTAGAATTAAGCCAGGTTTAACAGTTTATTTTTTCAAGTAACTCAATAATGAGTTTGAACTCTGTCTAATGATCTGCCTGTGAATATAGACACATTTTTTTCTCTTTGTAATTAAAGTTACAAAGTTTATTTAATAATTAAAATTATTAATTATTTAATAGTAAATATAGAATTTATTCTATATAATATATAAAGACAGGTGATTTCCACTGGATATGCTTGGTAAATATCAGTGCCTTCTTTGTGTTAAGATCACAGTTTATGAAAACTACTCATTGGGTTTGGGACTCATCTGTGTCATCCTCTTATCCAGGAAATGGACAAATCGTCATTTTAAGTGCTTTCTAGTTCTGAGTCATTCTGTTTTGCTCTTGAATTCTGCTGTCACTCAGGACTCCTTTCCCACTTATTACATTGCTGCTGCCTTGTGTTTTAACAAGCTGAGGTCTCTGGAGAAATCCTTTATTTTCTCCTTGCATGCCAAGGGGGATGGTGAGCACTGGATGGGGACAGCCATGCTGTTTGTCCTTTAAGGACTTAAGCAACCAGTAGGACCATCAGTGGGCTGTTCATTCCTCAGGCTCGGGAACTCACCACAGCTCATGATGGGTCCTCAAGGGGGGAAATCACTCCAGAGCAAAATGGGGATAAGACCATCTATCAAGTCAAGGGTTGGAATTTGTTCAGTGTGGATTTGACAACCATCCTGTATCTCTGTATTCACCAGTGAGTTATTGAATCCTTGCTGCACTGGGATTTCAGAAATATAGGTATTGTCCCTGCTCAGTAGAGTAAAACCCATGCCTTTCAGCCTGGTTCAGACCATTGCTACCTAAGACAAATTCTTAGAGCCACTTGGTGGCCTATGTGGCTTTTCTATTTGGGGATGTCAGCTCAAGACCCTTTGCAGTGACACTTGGAAGGAGCATATTCAGGCTCAGCTGATTTCAGTTCAACCAATATTTAACACCCTCAATGTGTTGGGTCTGCAAGGAATCAAAAAATGAATGACATTTGTCTCCCGTAAGGATAAGAGTAGCGCACTATTCATTGGCATTGTCTTGAGTTTGGAATCCCAGGGTGAGAAGCAAAGTCAGTAATGCGGCATCTAAGAGCACTAGACATACACTATCTCATTTGCTTCTCCCAACAACCCACTGAGTAAACCTGAGTCACAGAGAGCTTCTCCGAGGTCACTCAAGCAGGCAGTGGGGAAGCTGAGCTCCTGTTGGAACCTACTTTGGAGGGATTCCAAAGCCTCTGCTGTGGGCCACTTTGTTGCAATCACGATGGATACCTACAAAACTTCAAACAGCTCTGTAAGATCAGCCAAAGGATTTTCAGACCACAGGCATCTAATGTGTGCACAAACCATATTTATATTTCCTGACAGGTCACGGCTTGACCGCAGTCAAAGAAAAAGCAGGGGCCACCCTTCGGATTCACAGTGTCAATTCTGGATCTTCCGAAGGGGCCCAACCTGAGACCGAAAATGGAGTCCCTGCAGGTACGTGACGTGTGACTCTGGGCATGGGGTGGAGGGCTTTGGACTTTGTTATATCATGTGCATGACTAGAAGCTCCCTAAATTCAGATCAGCAAGATGAACTCTAGCAGGATTTTATTTTTTCTCTTTAGTTGCAGATGTGGCCGCAGATCAGGACCCTGCAGGTAGCCCCCCAGCGTCCCCAGCGTCAGGTTCTCGGGGCATGCTGTCAGCCCTCACCAACGCGGTTCAAAGCACTGTGAGTCCTCAGCAGTTTCCTTCTCCCCGCGTCTCCCTTCTTTTGATATTTCCATTCACCAGTGACCTAGATACATCAGAGGAAAGATGGCCGTGCTCGTGACTTTGGATTATGATTTTGTTATGCTTCCTGCTGCAGAGTAGGTGTAACCTTGGATCCCAATAATAAGGGCAAAATGAAATACAGTTTTATGTTTGAAAGAAAGGAGCTGTTTAGAAGGTCCCTTTTTCAATCTGAATGAATAGTGTCCTTTCCTACTGCTGCAAGGACAGCCTCTGGTTGGAGGAGAAAGATGCTTTGAGAGCTGGGACAGATGTTTTTCCTGGGTGGTCTCTTGCTCTTGACCCTCAATTTTAAAAAAATCATAAAACCATTCAAAATTTTTTTTAAAAAAAGAACCACTTATTAACATTGCACTGCCTTATGTTTTAACAGTAATAGCCCAGATATATTTCTGAATGTTTCCCGACAAATCTGTGTCCCTCCTACTAAAGGAAGCTTATCATTGTCACCAAAACACTGATGCATAGTGAAAAGGGGGGACCCCACCTGACTAGAGGCCGCTAGCTGTCCTGAGGGTCAGGGAGAAAGATATTTTCAACAATCTAGAACCAACTAGCTAGTTTTTCTAGAAATATGGATCATGTCCCTTCGTTCATTCATTCACTCATTCATTTTGTAAAAGGGATGTATGCCCTTCACTGTGCACATGGAGCCCCCTCCACTGGACACTGGGCATGAGCTGACAAACAAGAAGGTGCTATCTCTTTCAGGGTGCAGCTCAACAGACAAATACAGTGTACTGTGAGAAGAAGAGGGAGCTAGAGACAAACATAGGAGGGTATCTTACCCAGACTTTGGGGTCAGGGCTCCCCAGAAATACAGAAAATCACTCCTCCTCTCCTTGCTCCTTGACCTCTACACTGGGCATGGTGAAACAGGAACAGCAAGTATGTTTTGTCACTTAGCAATGCAAGTCACGTAGTCATGGGAAACGTTATGGGACTGGGGATGGTGGAGCTCTTTCAGCATCTGGTATCAGAAAGGAATTCATGGCCTTTCTGAGCCACCCTACAGGGCGCTCTGAGTGTGCCTCCAGCATCCCCAGCTCCCATTCTCTAACTTTCTTGACCCATTTCCCCAAGCTCCAGACACCCCCAGCTTGCACTTACTCAGTGTCCCTATGAATTGCCAACATCCTACCATCCTCCAAAGTGTGTGCATTTTTAAATCTCTTTTACAGCATGGTTACTGATTAGCCCCCACATCTGAAAACAAAGTCTGACAATCCAAGATGGAAATGATTAATAAGGTATATTAATTCAGTGAAGTTGAACAATGCTATTCATATAATTATGAAGGTTGGAAAATGTACATTGATAATAATATTACAATAGATCATTTTCATGTAAATTGGGAAAAAATACAGATATGCACATTATAATTACAGTTATGCAGTGGGAGCGTACATACAGAAGATGTGTCAAAAATGTATACAGTTCTGTGCACTTAAACAGTTTGTGTAAGTCTTCATTGTTTTAATGGAAAACAATAGCTGACAAAGGGATTTCCAGGGTGATAACTGTATAATAGAACAGTTTCTAAAGCCAGAAGCACATGCAAATCAACCTGTCTTATTTCATGAATCTATTAATTATAGGTGGGTCATGCTAGTTCCTGAAAGTATGCAAGAGCCATCTGACACAGCCCGAGGGTCCTATACTCCAGGGCCCTAAATTAAAGAATTCCCTAAAAAGTCAGGAGTATTTGACATTTTAATAAACTGCTCCAAAAGGGAAAAAAAAAAAAACCTCTATTACTTGGGTTAATTTTTTTTTCAAACAAAAACAGCAATTAGTTCACCTGTTAATTTTAGATCTTAGATACATATCTATTCATATACATAGAGCAAATAAAATTAATCCCCAGTGTGCTTTGGTTTTTTTCTAAGCATCATTTTTTAATAACACTGCATGCCCTATGAATTATATAACATATAGTTTTTCGAGGAAAAGAAAATCGGATTAAATGGATGATAAATCTCCTGGTGAGAAAAAAATGTGGCTTTATATTGATTTTAATATTTGAAGATAGTGTCAGTTACCAAGGAGCTGCTGACTGCTGCAGAACAGCAAAATGTAAAAAATCTAATCTCATGCAATTATCTCATCTGCAGGGCAAAAGTGTCTTAACTGGAGGTCTCGATGCTTTGGAATTCATTGGCAAGAAAACCATGAATGTCCTTGCAGAAAGTGACCCAGGATTCAAGCGGACCAAGACACTCATGGAGAGAACTGTTTCCTTGTCCCAGGTTGGACTGTATTCTTTGACCATTTTTTCTTCCAGTCAATAGAGTAAATACACTTTTAAAATTTTTTTAATAGATCATGGAAAGCACATGTTTAAATTCAAATGGCACAAAAAGAGTTGAACAAAAATGGAGTTTCTGATATATCCATTTCCCTGTTGCTAAATTTCTCCAGGGGACGACCACTGTTGACAGTTTTTAGGCATACTGCCAATTATACAGGTACTGATACACATAGATGAGTCTATGCATAATCATATAGATATATAAATACATATGTGGACAGATAGACATAGGCACATACATACACACATACTTTTTCAACCAAATGGTAAATACTAATCACACTCTTTTGTATTTTATTCACTCAATGATTTCTTGAAGCCTATCCCATTTATGCCACTGTGTGTATCCCAGATCTACATACACTTGGTTGCATGACCTTGAATGGATTCCTTAGTCTCTCTGTGGCTCATTTTACTCATTTGTACTCTGGGATTAACATCATACTTACTGACGACATTTTTGTGAGGGTTGAATGAGTTACAGTAGAACCGATACCAACCTACGTGTATGTATATGTGTGTATATACAGCTATATGTATAAATTTTTTTCTCCTTAAGATAATGATGATGTAGGATGAAATGAGACTGAGTCCAGAAACTGGCTAACTCTGACTTCTTTGGTTGTGAAATGAGAACTGGACGAGGTTAGTTTCCCAGATCACCATAATTCTCCATTTTTGTCACAATTCTGATCATATCTGCATGCAATCTACCATTACAAAGTAGCACTGCTCATAGAACTGTGTCACCCAAGAACCACATTAGCCATCTGCAGGGCTTGTTGTAATTACATACGGCTGCACCATTGTGGCAGGTTTGGTTCAGAACATTCTGGAGGGCACCTGAGCATTGCACCTGCAATTTGTATGACTGCTTCAGTTGGGTCACTGTAACACTTTTACCCTCTGCTATTTAGACCCATCTCCATTTTTTTTCCCCAGAGGAAAAAGCAGAACCAGCATCCCTCATTAAGGGAATTATCCTTTATGCAGCTTTAATTCCACTCCCCACTTGTGAGTGAATTCTGATCCACTCCACAGTGATGTTTTCCCTTTACCTTCCATTTCGTCTCTTCCTCCCTCTATCCCAAAGCACCCATTTAGAGATGGTAGTTGGTAGAGAAAGGAAGCAATCTCAGATGCACTCTGCTATTTTATGGTACCACCATCAAGCCCTGAGATCAGTGGGGGTCGTTGAGTTTTATTGCAGATATTAAAACTTTCCAGTGATGGTTTCATTGGGTTGTTTTTAAAACTTTAAAATTCAGAACCTGTACTAATTTAGTCTTAAAGATAGACAGGAGAGAGAATTCTTTCTGCAGAATTCTTTCATGGCTAACAGCCTCGGGAACCCAAAAGGAGAATGAGGCCGACTGTTTTATTGGCACACAGTAAATACCAGGCTCTGTTCTTAGATGATCTGCCCCCTGTGCCCTTCTGGTGTTGACCAGTATATTGATGGTGCTCTCCACAGATATTAAAGGGCCCCATAAACTTAATGCCCCAGTAAACTTAATGAGAAATCCAAAGATGCTTAAAATCAAAGAAGGCAAATGCAGAAAATTGGAAGTGACTGATAGACTTGTGTTCATTTTGCTGTCTTTTTATTTAAAAACAAATAAAATAACTGGAGAAAAGTTATTGACGTGCACAGAAATGCAAGTTCACAGTCTTATTTCTAAAGACTAGCCGAAGCATCTATAAGCCTATTTATATTTAGTATCTGGTGATGAACACATTACGAGTTTATAGTTATCAATTCTTTTTATTGAAGATGTCAAATAACTTCATACACAAAAGATTCAAAGTAATGTAAGTGAGAAAATCAGATCAGCTTATTTCTGCTTTGAAGTCTGCCTAGGTGCGGAATTCACAGTTAATCTTGTCACAAGAGATTAGACTTTCCCAGTGTGCTTAAAACTTGCTCAATATAGACAATTTGGGCATTTTAGAAAATAGAAAAGTTAACCACACATGTGGGAAACACCTCTGGACACCATTGTGAAGTCTTTGGTGAGCTTCTTTCCCATCTCATTCCCAGGCATAGAATTTTTGCTTTGCTTTGCACATAATGAACATATAAAGTCCAAAATAGAATATTATGTAAAAATTATCAATAGCATCCATCAAAAAATAATTTTTTAAAAATTCCAAAGTGATCAAAATCAACCCTTCCCAGAACCAAAATTCAGCCCTTCCCCACCCTACACCCGACGTGTCTTTTACAGGAAGTGGGGCTTTTCAGCATACATCTGGGTATAAGCGTTGTGTGTTTCTGCAGATGTTAAGGGAAGCCAAGGAGAAGGAGAAGCAGAGACTGGCGCAGCAGCTCACGGTGGAGAGAACCGCACACTATGGGATGCTCTTTGATGAGTATCAAGGTCTGTCACACCTGGAAGCCCTGGAAATTCTGTCCAATGAAAGTGAAAGCAAGGTACATCCCCACTGGTCATTTGAAATAACATGTTTTGTAGTGTGTTTCTTAAACATGAAGAAACTGGGAAATGCCAGTATCTCATCAGAGCCTCAGTATCGCAGTACTAAAGTTACAAATGCCATACAGCCTGATGAGCCCCACAGACGCCATATAATTTCCTCTCTGTCCTGTGCCAAGCTATTGCCCCACACCAGCCCCAAGAGAGCCAGAACACAATAAGTCAGCACTACCCCTCCTTGTGGTGTGAAGGGCTGTCCTAGAACTTGGCTGTTAGGTCAGCCTCCTGGCCTGTGCCTCCAGCCTCCTGGCCTGTGCCTCCCTTTGGTGACGTCATACCCGGATCCAGGATCCCTTCAGCCTGCAGCTTTCATTCCTCCCCAGTGTGAACAAAGCAGCTGAGGTTTGTTGTAGATTTCAGGGTTTTAGTATATTTTGTTTTATGCATTACCTTTTATTGATTCAGCCACTTTGTTAGACTATCTGGGTCATAAAGGACAGAGTTATCCTACCAAGAATTAAAGGTCTATTTGGGAAACATGCAAAACCCTGGGAAACACAGTCTCCCTGAGGGTCCTGCACATGCTCACTCCCCCATTATGGCACAGGAAAACAAAACACAAATAGCAGACGATCAATGGGGTTTGTAGCTCTTCTTAAAGTAGTGTGTGTGTGTGTGTGTTTAGTAAGCTTTTACATAGCACTTACAAAGTCACCATTCTAAATACTAGAAAGCCATTCATTTACTTGTCCATGTGACTCTTTTGTGGAGACATCAGCCTGACTGCAGCCCTACTATAAAAACAGTGGAAGCCACAAGGCAGTACCCTCTGGCCCTCCTGTGAGGGAGGGGCTGTGGGCCATCTGACATTCACCAGGGAGAAGCAGGTCCCTGGACAAGAAGCTGAACTTGGAAGTGAGGTTCAGAATGGAAAATAATTTTGACTCTCTAGGCCTTGTCCTCTTGTCTTCAGATTTTACAAGTCTGAAACATTTTTTAATGAACTTTCTTGCCCATTCCCTCACCCCAGCCACCCCTGTGCTGGGGGTGGAACCCAGGGCCTCATGCATGCTGGGCAAGCACTCTGCCACTGAGCTATTTCCCCAGCCCTTGAGCCATTCTCGATGCCTGGCTCATCAGGGAAAGACCACTTCTGCCACATAATGAACTACCAAGAACCAAACAGGATGGGGACACCCTCCCTGCCCTAGATTATAGGGCTGCATGTTACTATCTGTGTTTTTTTTTCCTTTTTTTGTTATCCATGAGCTTCAGTGAAAATTCAAGGATAAATCACAATTTTTCCAAAAAAGGCAAAATCATAACTCTCACGCTGACAGAAAATAAATACACATTAAAATTTTTTTAGTTCATTAATTGAATGAGGAAACCGGGCAGATGTTATCACCCCTTCAAGGGAAAGCCAGAGAAGCCCAAATTTACATGGAGTAAAGGAATGTTGAAATGAATGTGCAGATAGACACAAACCTGGTTTCTCCACAGCAGGGGACATTGTCCCTCCACTGACAGAATTCATTAAGGAGTTTGTGGAGAAGAGTTGATTTGCATTGCCATCAGCTATCCACGATTTACACAGTTGTAAAATTGCTCCTGTAGATTCAGAATCTCATAATCTAGTAAAGTGTGATCTAAAAAATGCAATTTTTCATGGAGGCACAAAAATTTTCCCTGAAAAAGCAATGTCTAGAGTCAGACTTTATATTATTATAAATCACTCTGTAGCTGAATGATTTTGAATCCCCTTTGCCTCAATCTCCTTATCCATGAAATAGGAATAATAATAAAACCTACCTCATTGGATTATTGAAAGAATTTAATGAGATAATCCTATGAAGCTAGTAGCAGCACACTTAGTACATAATAAACACTTGAAAAAAATGCTAGCTGTATATGTATATGTTTATAATGTTAATGACGTGTTATTTTATATGCATTCTTATGTTGTATATAATTGTTATTATTATTAATAAATATTACAGGGGGAGCACAGCCCTACTATAAAAACAAGCTATTGTACTGGTAGAGAGATTGCATTCTGGCTGCTTCCATCACAGGTCTCAGCTGTGAACAGCCCTGTCCCCTGGAAAAAGAGCCCTAAAGGACCTACTTTGCTGGAAAGGAGGTTCAGGCTATGTAGGGCATGAGCCAGCTTTCCATCGCTAGAACAAACTCCTGAGATAACCAACTTACAGGGAAAGGCTTATTTCGGCTCATTGTTTCGGAGGCTCCAGCTCACAATTGGAGGTTGGCCATGTTGCTTTTAGACCTGTGGTGAGGCAGCACGTCAAGGCAAAAGAGACAAAGAGGAAGAAGCCAGAATCCCAGTCCCCTTCAAGGGCAGTTTCTAATGACCTAAAGAGCTCCCACGAGGCCCCGCCTCTTAAAGGTTCACCACCTCCCAACAGCCCAAGATGGGGACCAGTCCTTTAACACATGAGCTTTGGGGGGCATTTCAGATCCAAACTGTAGCAAAGGTGTACACTTCTTCTGTTTGCACACTTCTTTCACAAGCTCTGCTCTCTTTCCCCAGCTTGGAGTTTTTTTGGTTTTGGTTTTTTTGTTGTTGTTGTTGTTGTTGTTGTTTTTTGGTATTAATAGTAAGGAATACAGAAGTTTTGGGTTTTACTTATTAATTCTCTTGCTTAGTAATAGTAGTTATTGGATGCTATAGTAAATGGTCCGAAAAATATATGAGTAAAAAGCAGTAGAAGTTACTTTTCACTCCAGTGTCAGGATAGGGATACCTGGACAACAAGCATCTTTCCTGCACTTAGGGATTCAGAACTCAGGCTCAGTTCATCTTGTGGCTTGGCTAGACCCAGCCTAAAGTCCACAGGCCTCCAGCAAGAACACAAATACAGCAAATGAAAATACATGATGACTGTTTTTCAGAGATGTTCATAGCATGGTGATACTGGTGAATAATGATGTGTGTGTGTGTTTCAAGATTGCTAAGATAATAGACTTTGAATATTGTCAGCACAAAAATGGTAAGGCCGGATGCAGTGGCGCATATCTGTAATACCAGCAGTTCGGGAGGCTGAGACAGGAGGATCCTGGGTTCAAAGCCAGCCTCAGCAACAGCAAGTTGCTAAGCAACTCACTTGAGACCCTGTCTCTAAATAAGATACAAAATAGGGCTGCGGATGTGGCTCAATGGTTGAATGTCCCTGAGTTCAATTCCCAGTACCCACCTTACAAAAAAAAGGTAACTATCTAAGGTGATGGATATGTGGATATAGTCATTAACCTCATAGAATCATCCTGCATATATCAAAACATCAAAACATTGTGCCCATAAACATGCAATTGTTTGTTATTTAAAACCAAATTAAATTAACTTTTTAAAATAAATAATAAAGCAGGTAGGGGCATAGATCAGTGGTAGAGTGCTTCTCCAGCATGCGCCAGGCCCTGGGTTGGATTCCCTAGCACTACAAAAGAAAAAAATAATAAACAGGGAAAAAAATAACACAGAGTGACTAGTTAAATTTTTTACTTTTGATAAACAATGATTTTTTTTAGTATAAATATGTCATGTGAACTATTTGGGACACACTTAATACTTAAGAAAATATTTATTATTTATATGAAGTTTGAATTTGACTAAGCATCCTATGTTTTAATCTGGCAACCTTACATATGCCAAAGATTTAAAAGTTAAGGAACTTTTGAAACAAACTGTTAAAGAAAATAAATTCTGTCCTCCTCCCTCGACACCATGACCTGAAAGGCTGGGTTCTCATACAGAATTCTCAGACTCCTTGAATTTCCACACCACCCTGCAGCCTGCCCCTTGTATAGAAATAGAAGGAATTATTGTCATTAATATTTCACTAGACTTACTCTAGGACAGCCACAGGCATGACAATGTGATGTGTGATAAATGTTAAAAATGAATAATTTTTGGTGCCTTTATGCTCACTGTAAAAATAGTAAAAAATATATCTTCAAAATAGCACTACACATTTGTTCTCAAGGAAAAGCTGAGACACACAGTCTACTCTCAGGTCCTGGACAGAACTTAACACAGGGCCAAGCACACAGTCAGCAGTCCACGGGTATCTATTAAGGAGCACAGGGGTTTTTATTATTTATTGTTGGTCTGACCCAGAGATTCAATGCATATCACCATGGCGTGATGGAATGCACCAGGAGGGAAAAGCAGGAATATAGGAGCAGAAATGAAGGCTCTGAGGATGTCAGGACAAGAAAGAGTGGCCAGGGATTGTCAAGCAAGGTGCATTTGCTTCTCCCTGATGAACTGTCGTGGGTACTTCCGGTGAGAGCCTCAGGCAGGTTGCATCGCTCATAAAGATATGCAATAGCCAGGTTCAGTGGTGCATGCCTGAAATCCCAGCAGTTCAAAACCAGCCTCAGCAATTTAGCAAGGCCCTAAGCAACTTAGTGAGAACCTGTGTCAAAATAAAACATAAAAGGGGCTGGGGGTGTGGCTCAGTGGTTAAGTGCCTTTGTATTCATTCCCCAATACCAAAAGCAAAAACAAACAAACAAAAAAATGATGTACATTACCTTTTAGGAAAATTGAGTCCTGGCATCCTGGATGCCCTAATTCTCTCTCTTATCCTGATGTGCTAACCTAATTCCGTGATGAATATTAAAACATTTCCAAAAGGGCCATAGCTCCTCTGCTGGTGCTTCCTCCAGAACAAGAATTTGACCTGCAGAATGAAAAAAATTAAAACCTCACTACTTTACTTCAATTTTAATATAGTGTCCATGCCCTTTGACCCTTTTGGAAATTGAAATCAACTGGAGGACTGCTGACTCTCTGCACATAGAATTTTTAAGCACATACAGAGGATGACTTCAGAAGAGGGTTCTGAAGACAGCGAGCAGGGGTGGCCACAGTTCTAGCATCATGTGGGCTGTGCAGTCCTCCCCGTGCCACCTCTTCCCTCCTAAAGGCAGAGCGACTGCTGTCTCCTTGGCCCCCACTGTGCCCTTCACTCACATCTGCCGTGGCCACTGCTGGTGGACCTGGGCCTCCGTCCTCTAGATTGCCAGGGAAGAAAACTGGGTCTGGTGCATTTTTGTAAACTCAGTATAATAGCTCCTGTCTAGAGGTGTACGTGTGGATATGGCACTTATTTGTCTACATATGTGTACATATATGCAGGTATACATAATTTATTGAGCACCACTGTAAGTATTTTAAGTACATTACTTCATTTAACCTCCAAACAACCTCTTCAAGTAGATAGAATTAGCCCTCATTTTACAGATAAGAAAGCTGAAGCCTAGAAAGGCTAAATAAATGACCCAAGGTCACATAATTTAGAAGTGAGCAGCTGATATCTGAACTCAGTCTTGAGGCCAAAGTGTGTTTTTAACCGTATGAGAGAAGAGCTGGCGCCACTGTTTATTTAGCACCTACTATGTGCACTTGTGCAAAATACTTTATATTCATTATCTTATTTACCACACAAAGGATCACAATGAGGGCTAGGGTTGTGGCTCAGTGGTAGAGCGCTTGCCTAGCATATATGAGGCACTGGGTTTGATTCTCAACACCTCATTAAAAAAAAATAAAGATATTGTGTCCATCTACAACTAAAAATATTTTTTTTTAGAAAAAGGATCACAATGAAGCATAGATCTTGTTTTACGGAATATGAGATCCAGGAAGCTTTTGTAACATGCCCAAAGTTGCAGGTAATGGGCAGTAAGGCCAACATTCTACCCAGGGTTACCGCCCATACCACAGATCACCTTGGGAAAACTGGGAACAGCTGTATGGAAATGTTATTAATGAGAAGGAAAGATGACAGTTATATTGACCTATTTCTTTTTTTTTTTTTCAGGTTCAGTCATTTTTAGTATCACTGGATGGAGAGAAGCTGGAACTCTTAAAAAATGACCTGATTTCCATTAAAGACATCTTTGCAGCCAAAGAATTAGAGAGTGAAGAGAATCAAGAAGAACAAGGTAAAGGAAAACAAGTTAAATAGCAAAACAAACTAACGGTGTAATCCTTAGGAGACTGCTCTTTATACACACAGCCCTTTGAACAGGGTGAATGATTTCATCCAAGTGCTCCTCCTCTGCTTCTGGAATTCACTGTGCATCTGCTCTGGCTATGGGAGCTGGTCACACTGATTTGTAATAGGAGCTCCTGTTCTTTCTCAGGTGTCCTGCACAGTCCTGGTGCATCACAGGCACACAGTGAGTGATGTGGTTGAATGAACCAGGGTGCAGTGTGCTGGGCCCCGATGATTAGAGTTCATGTACTACCTTCTAATTCCACCTGCACATGGAAGTTGTCGAACGCGATTAATGCTGATGGCGGGAAGTCTTGCTGTGGATTTCTTTGCATATTTTTCTTATTCCTTTTAATTTCTATGTTTAGGAGTTAGGGCGTATTTTTAGTTTCTACACTCCACCTAAAAATTATAGTTCTGGATTGGGGTTGTGGCTCAGTGGTAGAGCACTTGCCTAGTGTGTATGAGGCCCTGGGTTCAATCCCAGCACTGGGGGGTAAAAAGCATTTCCGACCAAGGCTGTACCATTTCCCCGCAGTGTGCTAGGGCATGACGTGTCAGGTGGACAATCACTAGAGTGACCCAGGTGTGCACTTCCTGATCATCTTCCATCTAAATCATAACTTCACCCCCAAGGAGACCAGAACCTATATTATGAGAAGCAAGGCTTACTTAAGAGGAGAAAAGGTATTCTCTGCGTTGGACATGCTTGGGCTGGGGATGTAGCTAAGTGGTTGAGTGCTTGCCTAGAATGGGTTCAATCCTCAGTAGTTTAAAAAAAATTTTTTTAAAAGTTGGACATGCCTAATGAATGCTTTGGATTGTCCATTTGGAAGGAGAATAGAATAAAACATTTGCTTTGTACCTGGAGAGTGACTCCTTTCCATGTCATCACCTATGCTGGAAAGCAGAGCAGCCACAGACACAGGTGGCTTCTCCTGAGACTCTCTGTGTCGTGTTCCTCCTGACTAAAACACTCCAGGTGAACTGGGCTGCACAAAATAATCACACAACTGACAGAGATATCTTTTTCTTTGGGTCCTGTGACGATTCCTCTGACCTTAAGGGTCCACAGAAAGAAAGAGAGAGCAAGTGCTGACCCCTTTTATTCAGGAGAAGCATTCAAATGAGGCAAGGGTCAAGTTTCAGGGGGTCGAATCTAGCCTCATGATGTCTGCTGTCAGCAGGTTGACTGACATCTAGGAAGGCCACACCCAAAGGCAGAGCAAGAGAAGGGGAAACACAAAGGGGGCGTCTATGGAACATTCTATCCCAAACAGGGTAAAGGGGTAGGATTACAAAGGAATAGGTGAGTGTAGCTCAACCCCATGGATGACACGCCTACATCTGAAGACACACCCTCAACTTCCTGAACTGAGTGGCTCCCCACATATCTGAAAGGCCCAACTGGAAACATCTTTAAAATTGTCTTGCCATGTGGTCTTAGACAAGAGATATAATCTTTCTGAAGCTCAGTCTCTTCCCAGAACATAAGGATCAAATTAGGTACTGTATATTCAAATGAGATGGTTTGGGAATAATGTTTTTCAGCATCTGTATATTTCTACAAAAGTCATCAAATAAGCTAGGCACAGTGGTGTACACCTGTAATCCCAGCATCTCAAGAGGCTAAGGTAGGAGGATCACCAGTTAAGGCCAGCCTCATCAACTTAGTGAAGCCCTGAGCAACTAGTGAGGCCCTGTCTCAAAAATGAAAAATAAAAAGGGATGTGGCTCAGTTGTAAAGTGCCCCTAGTTTCAATCCCCAGTACAAAAAAAAAAAAAAGTTTTCAAATATGGCAGGCTTGTCTTTGTTCTTCTGATGAAGAAACCAAAACACTAGTTCTAACTGTGGACCCTAAATAAGCTAATAGATGCCCCTTCCCAGATTATCAGTCACCACAACCATCAATCTGTTCCTCTTCAAGTTCCACAACCTTGGTCCTGCTGCAGGTATCATTCAGAAAGGATCCAAAAGGACCCAAGTTCCCCCAACACCAAAGAGATATTGTTGCCAATACAAATGAAGGCAGTATTGCCTCCCTACTGGTGCCACTCCTTGGAGATGACACTTGATTGCATAGTGTTTAATAGAAAATGTTGCCGGGTACGGTGGCACATACCTATAAATCCCAGTGGCTTCGGAGGCTGAGGCAGGAGGATCACAAGTTCAAAGCCAGCCTCAGAAACTTAGCAAGGCCCTAAGCAACTCAGTGAGACCCTGTCTCTAAAGAAAATAAAATTTAAAAAAGATAAAAGAAGGGATGTGGCTCAGTGGTTAAGTGCCTCTGGGCTCAATCCCTGGTACCAAAAAAAAAGAAAATATTACTATGGGTGATGTGCTCCCTTTTTAATGTATAGCTTCAGTAAATTGAGATTTTTTTAGTTACACACACACACACACACACACACACACGGAAGTGCTAGACAGCATGCTTTCAAACATGGTAGATTTGTCTCTCCTAAAGGGATAAAACCCTATTATCTCCTGTAATATATCCATTTTTCCCAAAGGGCATCTCCAGATTATCAAAACACTATTAAATTTAATTAACTTAATTTAATAAATAAACGCCATTCAAACACTTAATGAAGCACTGGGAGAAAAGAACAGAGGCCTTGTCATTAAATCAGCCCAATTATGACAGTGTCACAACTCCAAGAAAGACTGTGGGGTTCCCCAAAAGCCTCAGAGAGGAATTTTATCAGTGGGGTGAGCAGAAAATCAGGGAGCAAAATTCTGGAAGCAACCAAAACATTTTCCTCATTTTTTTTCTTATAAACATACATATTCCTAAAAGCCTCTTAACAACTAAATCATTTGTTTGGGAGTCTCAGAAAGTGTAATAAAGTATCGTTTTTAGATTAATATCAGGCTCCTGCACATTTAATAATGTTAGCTAATGATTTGCGTGTTTGTCTTTCCAGCAGATGTAATTTCATCACACTGCCATGGGTCTCTAATTTAGTTTACCCTGGCTGTGAGGAGATTTTAAACAACCGTTTTCTATGTTTATTGCGTTAGGGAAGATCTTCTTGGCCATTTGTAGGGACCAAGAGTTTGCAATAATAGTCTTTCTTGCAATATATATTATCATATCTTTTTATCTACTTCCAGTTTTCTCTGTGATTTTTTTTTCCATAAAATGCATGCTAAGATATTGGTGTGTATTTTATAAAATTAATGCACTTTCAAAAGCTGGAACTACCCAAAGTACTTGTGTTCTAATTTAGTGCCAATTCTTCCCAAATATGCTCAATCTCCCCATGTGTATATCTAGGTATCACCTAACGGTTTATTTACACAGAGTTTCCATGTCTACAAATCACTTCCACAGTCATTGTACTATTGGGTCTGAAAAGGAGACAGGTGGTTTTTACTATCTTTGGGTTATACAGAAGGAAATGGAAGGAGAGAAAGTATTGTGTAGTCCCAGGCCACATAGCCACTAAGTATAGGAGCTGAGTGGAACCCACACTTGGTGAGTCCCCGTCCAGGGCTCTTTCTGCTCTGCAGCATGGCCTTACACAGAACCAGAAGGACCAGGCACCTTGGAGATGGCACCATGTCCTTGCTGCCTAGGTGTGCCTGCCCCACCCACCCTCTTATTTGTCTACCTGCAGAGGATGAGTCCAAGACCTCTGTCCGGTGGAGAGAATCTCAGCTTTTGATGGAATCAAATCTCATGGAATCATTTCTCATAGTTCAGGAGACTAGGAAGTCCAAAATGGGGGCAGTGGGGGGGGCGGGTCTATGAGGACCCAGTCTCTGGGTCATAGACAGCGCCCTCTAGTGGCATCTTCATATGGTGGAAGAGGCCGGCCTGACCCTGGAGGTCTTTCACAAGGGCACTAATCTCATTCATGTGTTTCATGCTGATGATCTGATTACCTTCCCAAAGCCCCACCTTGTACCATCACTTTGGTATCAACATATGGATTTGTAGGGACACAAACATTCAGACCACAGCATCTCCTATTTAAAATTCCAAGCCCCGGCTACCCGCATTCCTTGCCTTTGGTTTATACTTCTCCATAAAACTTATCACTTGACATATATATGTTTTGCTTATGTTTTGTTTATTAACCTGTCTCCCTCATGAGACTCTATGAATTATAAGTAATAAAAACTGAACTAAGCCAAATGTTTTGAACAAAGACCCATGAGCTATCCTGGCTATCTTCATGAGCTGCAGACTAACCATTTGTCTATAAAACTAAAAATAGCACATCCAGACAGGTGCTGGGTACCCTATCCGTCACACTGCTGAGTTCTCCCTGAAGGTAGTGCCTTCACCCACAGGCAATAGTGGAGAGGCTTCTCAGTGGGTTTTCAGATTGTGTAGTCAGACCACATTCATGAGGCTATTTTTTCCCCCAAATAGGGAATAAATCCATTATGTAATCAATTCATTCACACCTACCAGAAACGTTAAAAATGGCATTGCCTTATACATACAAATGAGAGAAATGAGATTGTAGCTTTTAAAGCTTTCTATTTCCCACTCATTTATTTTTATTTTATGATATATGATAATATATTGTCTATTATGTAATTCATTAATAAATCATTGAGTCAATAAATATTCATATTAGCACAGACTATGTTCCAGACACAGCGTTAGATGCTGTGGGTTTAGGAGTGAGCCAAATAAATCCTGGCTCTGTCCTTTGATAGTTTCCAGTCTGAAGAGAAAAATGGATCTTCAAGAAGTATTAGAAGATGGGCAGGTGTCCTAGGAAACCTGGGGAATTTTTCTCCAGAGAGATGGTGTTGCTGCATCAGGTAGTGCACGCCCCATGGAGACTCAGTTCAGCCTCCTAGCATGGTGGCTCTGTGGACGTGGAAGGGCACTCTGGGGATCGCTAGGGTTGCAATGGGAAGCATAACCAGTCTGCACATCAACAAGGCTGTCCCAGGTCTGCCAGGCCTGGCGGAGGTCAGTCATTTGTTCATTCAGTCTTTCTTTCAATAAATAGCTATTGATTACTTACAGCTGTGAACCAGACAGACACGGCCCCTCCCTGCCCTCTTGTCTTCAGGCCAGCCCGGGGGTGTCCCAATGCACCGCCAGCAACAAGGCCTCTGCAGCTGACTCGCTGCGGCTGCCAAGGGACCCCGTGGGCTGCGTCTGCAGCAGCCGGAGGGCACACTGCCACGGCCCCCGCTCGGCCTACCCCGACTGCAGCCTGGAAAGTCCAGGGAGCTGCCACATTCTGAAGGAAGAAACATAAATCACGCTTCTTAACTTCTGTCACGTTCTATTTCTAGGCTTAGAAGAAAAGGGAGAAGAATTTGCTAGCATGCTTACAGAGCTTCTCTTTGAATTACATGTCGCCGCCACTCCTGACAAACTCAATAAGGTCAGAACCTTCTGATTCTGAGTTTTGGGGGGTTCGAAAGGGGTGTGGGGGTGGGTCTCAGTTGTAAAATTCCAGAGAATTTTTCCATGAAATGGAAAAACCCCAAACCCCACAGGGCACAGTGGAGGGAAGGGAGTTTGAGGTCTGTAATTAAGAACTGGGGGGCTGGGGATGTGGCTCAGGAGGTAGCGCGCTCGCCTGGCATGCGTGCGCCTGGGTTCGATCCTCAGCACCACATACAAACGAGGATATTGTGTGGCAACGTAATGAAGTGCTATGATAGAGAACATTCCAGACTATCAGGAGACAGTGTTGTAGTTGCAGCTTTATTAGTAATCACCTTGCAACCTTGAACAAGTCATTGACCCTCTCCTGGTGAAATAGAATGTTCTATCAGAGCGGTGTTTATCTTTAGGATGTAGAAAGGAAGAGGGAAACAGAATCACCCGGAGACTTTTTCAAATTCCACTCCCCCTACACCCAGCCTCTTAAAGAGACTTTCCAGAATTAGGCAGAGAGATGCCCTCAGCTAGGTAGACCACAGGTCTCCTCCCCTTGGGATGTTGCTACCGGTACTGGGAATCTAAGGTCACGCCCACCCTCCTGCCTGCTTCCAGAATAAGAGAAAAATGATATTGCTGAGAGCCACAGCTGAGTCGGAATGGCCCCTGGCATTTTGCCAATAGTATTGGTTGACAGGTGAGGCATTACTATCCACCTCAGCTGCTACTTTGGAGTTCTCTGGGGATTCCTGGAGAGTTCCCATTGGTTGGGAAAGTGCAGGAGGAAGGATTTCCAGAGGAGATATTTCCGGTGGCTGGTTCCTGGAAGAGCTGTGTGGGGTTCGGGATAGTTCCCGGGGAGCGTGTGTGGAGTGTGCTGGTGGATTTCAGAAATAAAGTTTGTTCCTGCTTCAGTGGCTTGTGATTTGTGCCCAGCCAGAGTGTGGCATGATATAAAAAGGGAAAATTAATTTAGTTGCATTTTGGCCAGAACTGGGAAGACTGCTTCCCCCATCTTACACAAATGTTTCAGTTCATGGGCAGGATCCTCCTAAGTGGGGAGCAAAATCCAAGAAACGTGCCTACTAGACGCAGCAGAGGAATCAGTTACAATCTGGTTCTCCTGATGCTGTGGGGAGGCAACTCAGCTTCCACTCTCAGCCTGAGATGATTACCTGTAGGTAGCTGGGATGGAGAAAGTACCTCAAAGAACAGGTGAGCAGGACAATGGCTGCGACTAGAAAAAAACAATTTGAGGCTTGACAGTTCCTAATTTTAAAGGGGCCTCTTACACTGCAACCTCACATCTAAGAATAGTCCAGCTCGAACAGTCTGGGTACCTCTAATAATACTTTGCAGGTTAGTACAAGGTTTTGCTGTAGAATTTCTTAAGAGGACACCAATCATTAATTACTAAAAGCTATGTGATATTCTCTCTCTCCTTTTTTCTTTTTTCTTAGCGAGCACTGCTTTACATAGGCATTCATTTATCAAGGTAGGCAAGGAAAGGGCAGAATGAGGTAGTGAGGTGGTGGTGAGATGAGTTATTTCTTTATCTCCCATGGGGGTCACTGCTTCTGGCAGGTCAGTGACTTGAACACAGTGGGAAATTGCCTCATCCATCTCCCTATGGCACCTGCTGCTGCTTGGAGGGAACCAGTGGTGGCTGCAAGGTGGCTCTGGTTTATTTACATAACAGAGCGTTAATCCCTAAGAGGACACAGCAAGGACAGTTATGGCTAACTTGCCATTCAATACTTTGTTAAATGTTGACATACAAGCTTGAAAATCAGTCGTTTTAGCATAAACTGAGAAACAACCTTCGCTTAAGCAAACAGCTTCAACAATGATAAAATCTGGGCAAGTCTGCCCTAAGTTCAGGAATAACAGGGGAGATGATGTCTGCACCTTTAATTTAGCCATGATTTTTACAGCCACAGATAGTGACGGAAATTAAGCTGGTCACAGACAAGCACCAGGTCTTTCCAGCAGCGCCGCTTCTCCCCTTGGAGGTGGGAAGACCTGCTATGAATCAGGAGGAGCAGAGCCATCTTTCATCTGCCCAGCGTGACACATTATTAGGTTCATGAAACATTAAGAATTTCATGAAACATATCAGATCAGGACATTTACTTTAGCCCTGACTCTGGCTAAATTTCTAACCTATAGATGAAAAAGTACTGATAATCTTTTATTGTTGGTCATGAAAAGTGAAAAAAGTCTATAGATTTGTCAGTGTCATTGTCATTTTTATTCTTAATCTGAACTTCCTTTTAAAACGCTGGATAGATACAACCAAAGTGCATTAGATGCTTGTATGAAAATGTCACAGGGAAACCTGTTTATTTTGTACTATTAATATGTGCTAATAGCCAGGCTCAGTGGCATATGCCTTTAATCACAGCTCAGGAGGCTGACACAAGAGGATGGCAAGTTCGAGGCTAGCCTCAGCAACTTAGCAAGACCCTAAGCAACTTGGGGGGAACTTGTCTCTAAATAAATAAATAAATAAATGGCTGGGAACATGGCTCAGTAGTTAAGTGCCCCTGGATTCAGCTCCCAGTAGTTAAGTGCCCCTGGATTCAGCTCCCTCCCAAAAAATTGCTAATAATTACAATATCCAAAGCATTCTCAGGTCTTTCAATATTCTCTCCATATTTTCTATTCTGTTCACCCCTTTCCAAAAAAAATTATATTTTTACCAATATCAGTAGTGTCTTTTAAAGAGGCTAAGGAATGGACCCACCACTTTTAAAACATCTGAAATTTCCCCCCTTGAGGTTTAGAGCAATTTGGGGTTGGGATGGCTTAGTTTTCACTGTCGCACACTACACCTATTCTTTGGTTGGGCGCATTGCAGGCCATGAAGAAAGCTCACGACTGGGTGGAAGAGGACCAAACCACGGTGTCAGTGGATGTGGCCAAAGAGTCAGAGGAGGAAACTAAAAAGGAAGAAAAAGAAGAGAAAGCTGAAGACCCTCAAGAAAGCAAAAAGGAAGAAAAAGGAACTAAGACTGTAGAGGTAAATTTATTCTCCATTGTTCACCGGCTGGGCGACCCTAATGTGTTACTTTTATTAGGAGCCTTTTTGTTTTCTGTGTTTTGGGGTAGTTTTTTTTTGGGGGGGGAGGTTCCTGGGGATTGAACCCAGGGACTCTCTGCCACTAAACTGCACCCACCCCCCAGCCTTTTAAATTTTTATTTATTTTGAGACAGGGTCTCACTAAGTGGCTGAGGCTGGCCTCAAACTTGCAAGATTCTTCTCTCTCAGCCTCCCACACAGCTGGGATTACAGGCGTTTGCCACTGTGCCTGGTTTAGCAGCCTAATTTTAAGTGAGGAGGGGCCGTTGTCTTATGATTTGTACCTTGTCTGACATTATAGAAATATGAGTAGGAATGTAATAAACACAAAAAAAATCCTCTCTGCCAAGACAGTTTGTAGCTTAGCGTGGAACTTGTAGCTTTTCTCCATTGCTTTGCAATTATAATTTAAAGGGGAAAAGACCTTTAAGAACATAATTGATTTATCTTTAGAGTGAATTTCCATCTCATGCAAATTTGTTACTATAAAACATCTTTATGCTCCATAACTAATGAGGTAACTGAAGCTGTTTTTCAGAAACTTTCATTGCCGTAGCCTTTGTTCCGTCGTTTAATAAATTTATGTGTGCATACTTGTCCTGCTCATGTTCGAAAAGGAGTTTGCAATAACTGCACCTTATGTTGAATTTTAATTTGAAAGAAAGTAGCTTTTCAAACTAGATCTCTCTAAGGAAAAATGGCAGCCAACGTCTGTCCATCTAGCCTCCCTTCCACACACCTTTTTAGCACCTGTCTGCTGGGTCCCAATATTGCTCATACTGTTGGGGACACAACTGTGAATAGGCTTGCCACATTCCCTGGGGACCTGGGAGCATTTCCATTTTATGGTAGCATTTCACTTAGAAAAGTTTTAGATGTACAACTTTTTCATGTTTTATTTGTTTTTTTGCTAATGAAGAATTCTGTTTAGGGACCAGAAGTGTAGCTCAGTGGCAAAACATGTGCTCGGCATGTACAAGGCCCTGGGTTCAATCCCCAGGACCAAAAGCAAAGAACCATTAAGTTTTAATGTCACAGGCCTTTATGAAAAAGCATCTGCTCAGCAGATAATTTTCTTGCCTTTTTTCCTACCAGGAAGTGTACATGTTGTCCATTGAAAGTCTGGCAGAAGTCACTGCGCGCTGTATCGAGCAGCTTCACAAAGTGGCAGAATTAATTCTTCACGGACAAGAAGAGGAGAAACCAGCTCAGGACCAAGCAAAAGTGCTGATAAAGTAAGTGCAACTTTTAATTCTTATTTTTTCAAGTGTACATACATATCTGTGCCACTTGTATACACACACCCTGAACAACTAAAGGTTTGGGTTTCAACTCAACTAATTCCCTTGTTCTGTGGTCATCTAAGAAATGAGGATGCCCTTAAGAAATGCATTGTGTTAGCAAGAAGATGATGAACACTCTAGGAATTATTGATGAAGGGTTTTAAGGAAAGACACACTAAATCATTCAGAGCTATGAAAGTGTTTATTTTAATAGGCTGAAGTCTTAGAAGTACAGAGCTTTGTGAAAATTATATTTTCAACATACCATACAAATAGAGGAAGGACACTCTAATGTGACTTCTCAGCTAGTTTCACAAAAATAAAGAGACACACTTCACCTTTCCCAGGGACTCAGACCAGCTCCGCTTGTCCTGAGCTCTGGTGATGATGGACACTAATGTAACAAGCCAGTTCACTGTGGATTGTGCACTCGTGTGTGTTGTGTGTGTGTGTGTGTGTGTGTGTGTTCCTAGTTTTTGTTCTTCAATAAATAGTAACTATTATTAGTTTATTTGGTAAAATTAAAAAATATATATGTAATATAGCTACATATACATATATAGAGAGAAAGATAGATAGATATGTATATACGCATACACATGAAAATACTTGGGTACAGAGTATTCATGAAAATAGTTGGTATGGAGATGAAAAATAAATCATTAAGTGTTATGCACTTGACTATTATGATACAGAAAATTAGCATCTATCCAAATATTTTCTCATTATTATTAAGAACAGGAACAGAATAGGAGCCTTCTGAAAATATATGGGGGCACACACACATACATACATGTCCCAGTACTCTGATTCCCTTCGCCAGCTAACTGATCTTTGCTTACGGCTTACTGCATTTGACAGAGTAAGTTAGGGAGTCAGTTTTAATTGAAGGACTTTCCAAAAAGTCACTATTAGTGTCGTTGTCCTGATGCCATTTTTTCTCACTTGTAAGATTTGTCATCTAGTCTAGACTTTCATATCTAAGCATATAAAATCAAGGATGTTAGAAGAACCACATAATCCACCCCTGTAATATTCCTAAAAAGATTATGTACTTACTTCAACAATATAGAAAAAAGAGGAAAGGACAAAACAGTAAAAGCTTCAACTATCAAGGCCAATATCTAGGTACTGTTTTATCTTTGTAGTGCTGATTTGAAAGAGGAGAGCTGAAGTTCACAAGCCCCTGCATGTGGATAGCGGGACCTTGCTCTTAGCTCCTTTCTGATTCCCATCCCTGATTGTCCCAACCCTTCTAAGCCTCTGACTTTTCCATACGATGACTGTTTCTACACCCCCCTGCCCAGGAACATAGAATTGGGACTGCCTGCTGGCCTTATTCTTGATATTTTTTGCAGATAAGTTTTGAGTGGATGGATGGATGGAGGGATATAGCTCATCAAACCTGAATGCGTAGGTTACATGGGACTTCTGTTTGTCAGAAACACCTAATGACTTCACTAGGTCTTGTAACATATAAGATTCTTAACTTGGGGGTTGTTTTTCCCAATAGTATTTTAATCACTATTCACAAAAGTCATACACTAATTGTTAGGAGAAAATTAGACAGAACTTATATGATTAGGCAATTAGATTGTTTCCAGTTTTGTCATCTATAATGTCAGGATAAATGTGGTTTTCATTAAATATTTCTACCTTACTTCATTTTCTTAGGGTAGAAGTAGAATGGCCAAAGGAAATTGGATATAAGTCTTTAAAACATTCTATAGGATCTTTATTTTGAGGCATCTGGTAAAAAGCATAATCAAAACATAGAGACACCTGAGTTTGAATCTCCCCCCTCTACTACCTACTACCATATGCCTAGATAGGTCATTCACTCTCATAACAGTCAGTTTCTTCATCTATATAAAATGGGAATAATGCTGTAATCTATGAGGACACTGTGAGGGTTAAATATGATTAGGAATATAAGAACTTAACAGAATGCCTCAGTGAATATTCATTATTTTTTTTTAAATGACCAAATAGCTGGAGAAAAGCCAGCTGGCAGAGTTTATGTCCCTATAGATGTGGAGCTCACGCTTGATATTTTCCTGCACAAGGTTTTGATTCTAAAAAGAGGTCAAAGGAACTAGATGATTATTCTTTAATTAAGCATGGAGAGAAAAACCAGAATTTGATTAAACTGTGATTATAAATCATGGAAGATTGTTGAGGAAAACTCAGCTGCCATTTCTGTTGAGCAACTTCAAACTTGAGTTCCATCCTTTTAGACATAACATGCATTCATATCAATAATTGTCATGACAATTAAATTTTTTCCTTTATTAAAAATCCTCAAACCTCTTTTTTTCTTATTTCAGGTTAACTACAGCAATGTGCAATGAAGTGGCTTCCTTATCCAAGAAGTTTACGAAGTTTTTAACAACTGTTGGGGTGAGATTATAATATTTATCATTTTTTTTTTCAAAAAATTTACTTTTTTAAGGGAAGTAGGTCTGAAAGAAAGAGTGGGATATGCAGCACCTTTTCATTATTGTTGTTGTTCTTCCTAGATATACATGACAGTAGAGCATATTTTGACACATTTTTATAAATATATATATATATATATAATAAGTATAACTTGTTCCAGCTAGGATCCCATTCTTGTGGTTGTACATGATGTGGAGTTACACTGGCTATGTATTCATATATGAACATGGGAAAGTTGTGTCCAATTCATTCTACTGTCGTTCCTCTTCCCATCCCTCTTTCTTCCCTTCATTCCCCTTTGTCTGTTCCAATGAACTTCTATTCTTCCCCTCCCTTATTGTGGATTAGCGTCCACATATCAGAAAGAACATTTAGCCTTTGTTTTTTGGGGACTGGCTTGTTTCGCTTAGCATGATATTCACCAGTTCCATCCATTTACCAGAAAATGCCATAATTTCATTCTTCTTTATGGCTGAGTAATATTCCATTGTGTGCAATACCTTTTTGGGGACCTCCACAGACAGAAGCCATGCCAGGATGTTTGCTAAAATTAGGCCAAGAGCACCTTGTCTAACATTAGGCAGCCTAGCGCTCTCCTCCCACTAGGTTCTAGTCCCATGTCTCAGACATCTGAGATGTTGAGTGAGTTTTCAGATCTCTGTGGGCCTGGTTTTCATAATTTGTTAATAAATAAATAGTGTCAGGGGCAAGAGGTATAGCTTAGTGTTAGAGCATTTTCCCTGGGTTCAGTCCCCAGCACTGTGAAATAAATAAAGTGTCAAATGAAAATCCCTTTCATCACTTAATATCTGTGATATATTAAAATAATTAATCTTGGGTTTTCTTATTCACTGTACCCTCAGTCTATTTTATAAGCTACACAGTTTATTTTGGAAGTATTGCCACACTTCAGCTTTAACCAAAAAAACATTAACAACAGGGTTTAAATCCTGTTTTAGTAATGGTGTTTTTTTGGTTCCAAGTATGTTAGTTTTCCAGGACTACTATAACAACGTGCCACAAACTGGGTAGCATAAAACCTGAAATTTACTCTCACAGATCTGGACACTAGAAGTCTGAAACCTGGGTGTCAGCAGGGCCATGCTTTCTCTGAAGACTCTAGGGAGTATCCTTCTCAGCTTCTTCCAGCTTCTGGGAGCCCAAAGCTTTCCTTGGTTCGTGACTAAAATCCTCCAGTATCTCTGTCTTCCTATGATCATTTTCTCCTTGTGGGTCGTCACATTGTTTTGCTCCATGCATCTCTGTGTCCAGATTTTCCTCTTCTTGTAAGGACACCATTCATGTTGGATTAGAGTGTGATCAATATGGCTGCAACAACCCTTTCTCCAATAAGATCATAGTCTGAGGTCCTTGGGCTTAGAACTTCAATGTGTATTTCCTTTTCGGGAGGGAACATTTCAACCCAAAACAAGAAGCAACAGAAGCAAATTCTAAATGTTTTAGATTAAAATGGGGCTTTATGAAAGGTAGTGGAAAACCTCCAGAGCTCATACCCATGCTCTGAAAGTGCTGCTATTAATGTGACTCAACAACAGCACTTCCCAGTCCCTGTGTTCTCTCCATTCAGATTCCTATTTCCTGGTTGAGAAGGTTTCTGAGGCTGATCAGCATGAGTCAAAGGTCCACCTTGATATCACTCAGCAGTGACTAGGGATAGGGTCATATCATGAAGACCCACCTGGCTATGGAGTGTACCCCTTTCCCCTTATGGGAAGTACTAAGAGCAATTCTTTGAAGAAGCCAAAAATAATTGTGGACCCTATACTTCTATAGGTGACTCAGGCAAAAGGGTGAGCTACACACTGCCTATTCATTCTGCTTTCAAGGAACCTGGTTTGACCCTCCTCTTTTGCAAAATAGCAGCTTTTACATTTGTCTAATTTTAGACCTTCAGCCATAGACCTTCACTGTTTGCAAGCAGTGAGGGGGGAGATGGAAGTTTACAGAGAGAATGCATTAGTGTGCTCGGTGTCGTCTAAGTTACCCAGTGCCCACAGACTTCAGTGGAAATGCTAGGTTTACAAAGAGGTGTGAGGGCTTAATCAGGAATGGGATAGACTTGGCAATTCAGGTTCCCAGGGCTCTCCTGTTCTCTACCCTTGCTCCTTCACACAGTTCACAAGACAAGGAAACCAAGCCCAGAGGGGTGATCCACAGGTCACCCAGGCCTCTCAGTAGATCTCTCAATCAGCTGCCCATCAGATGCACCAGACAGAGAGCCAATTGTTTGGTGTTCTATGATCATCTAGGGGAGTGTGTATATGTTTATATATGTTTATATGCCTTATGTTAATTTATCTACATTAGTGAAATTTTTTCATAGTATTGTTTTCCCTTCCCTTTCACATATTATATTCCAGCACTGTGTTTCTCAAACCTTAATGGGCACACAAATCACCTGGAGACCTTGTTAAAATGCACATTCTGATTCAATACACCTGGGATGAACACTGAGCGGCTTCATTGCTAATAAGCTCTCAGATGATTAGAATGTTCCTGACCCCCAGTCCACATTTTATGTAGCAAGGCTCTAGCAGATGGTGTGTACTTGAACTTGTATAAGTGTGCATATGTATGGATGTGTACACACGTTTGCATGCACAAAACCAGGACCACACACAGTATCATTTCGGAGAAAGAAAAACCTGAATCTAAAATAGAATTTCCTGAAATGCCATCTCACCACAATAATGCCCCTAATCTTGTGCTATGATGAATCATTTGCATCAAGTCATTGTTTCTGTTCTCTAAAACAGCCATTATTCATAACTTGAAGATAATGAGTATATATCGCTCTCCAGACTCTATTTAAATTGCCTGCACATCTCATTGATTCTGAAAACCAATGTCATTTTATTGCCCTCATTTTGATTATATTTTAGAGGTTTATTGATAATCAAATAAACATGAAAGCAAATACCATAATAGATTATCTGGTTACTTACTAAAATGACTGGGTTTTTAAAGAGTTTTTTCCCAAGACTCCCTTACGGTTTCCTCTGTAGGGCATTACTTTACCTTCAATAACGTCAATGAAAGTGGTCTGCTCTGGGAAGAGATATTTAATTTATATGCTTTTGTTTGCCACAAACTCTTGCATTACAGTAAGGGAAACTGACATATTAAGCGTATTCTCTCTCTCTCTCCAGTTCCTTTAATAATTTATCATCTAAAAGTAGGTTGAACATTTTATTTTTTTAAATTCTTTTTGTGGTTGTAGATGGACAGAATGCCTTTTTTTTTATTTATTTATGTGGTGCTGAGGATCGAACCCAATGCCTCACGCATGCTAGATAAGTGCTCTGCTACTGAGCTACAGCCCCAGCCCCAGCATTTTAGATAGTGGAGACTTGTTTGATAGAACAATCACATAACTAAGGGTAAGGCTACTTAACACTCACTCTCACTTTTTGAACACCTGCTTTTAACTAGGCTTTGCAGCCCATACTTTACATATATTCATGTTTTTCAAACTCAGATCTGCAGACCTGTTTGAAAAATATATTTAAGGATGCTATAATTTTGCTGCTCTTCTGGAAGATGCACTATAGCCAAGTACTTCTGTTTGCATCTAAAAGATACAAAGGATTGGGAGGAGAGACTAGAATAGGGCTGAGACTAGGAGAGGTAAATGAAGGACTTAACCCTCCTGCAAAATTTGAGAGTGTCCAGGAGAAAAATTAGGGGAAAAAAAAAAGTAAGCTATATAGATATTTAATGCAGTATTTTTACAATAAAAAGTACAAAAATGATGAACAAATTATCAAAATTTAAATATAGTATCCAACTATGTACTTGTTCAGTTCACCTCACCAAACTCCCAGACCTACTATAAGTAGTTTCAATAGTTAAAAAGGTCTGAGTTTACATTTCTAGCTATGTGGCCTTACACTAATTACTCAACCTTCCTGATTCCCATTCCTCATGTTGAAATTGGGATTATTACAGTACTTACCTACCTCCTAGGAGTTTAAGTGAGAAATTAAATGTCAGAATTAAATGAGATGGTGTAGGGGAAGCACCAAATACGAAGCCTGGCCTACACAGTCAGCATTCCACGCCTCCCCTTCAACAGAGCTAGTGTCTTACATTTTATTTTACATGGCAAGCCTTGCAGCCCAAGCCCCTAATCTGTCAATTTCATACTTTTGATCCCACAGAGCAAGAAGAAGGCTGAGGTTCTTAACCCCATGATCAATAGCGTGTTGTTAGAGGTAAGTAGCCACAGGAGAGAGGGAGCTTCTGATCAAAGCCAAGGTGGAAGCTATAGTTTTTTTCCTTCTTTGTCTTTCTCCCAGGCACCACATTGTATTGCAATTCAAAATCTTATCACCAACAGTCTCTTTTGAGTACGTTTGTGTAGCTCAACCAGCTGTAAATCCTCTGGTGAAGCAACAATACCCAATTTTCAAGAATCCCTGATTATAAAAAGAAATGCTAAGCTTGCGTGTTATTTCCATCTCTGTTTCCTCTGGCAGAGGTGGATTTCTGCTGTCAAGTTTGACACTAGATTTAACAATATGATTATTGGCTACGATGAGGGCTCCTTGCTCCGTGGTGATTTTTGTTAAAATGAGCACTTCCCTCCATTCACAGTAACCTTTGGCTTAACTGGGCCTGAGCTCCAGGCTGGTTAAAAAGAAATGACAAGCAGGCTATTTCCCCTCTGTGCAGTGACCAGGCCACCATCCCCTATCTGCCTGCTCACCAGGGGCTGTACTGACACAGAGCTGTCCCAACACTGCTCTGGCTTTACCAAAAACAGTGATGTGTGGAGGAGGAAAAAGGCTCAGGAAGCCACCTCGGTGGTGGAGTACGGGCTCTGTGCTCTACCTGTGGAGGGTGGAGGAAATCTTCCATTAGGGGCCAGACTGTAAGAAACGGGCCCATCTCTGGCCACAGGGCACCCACCTGAAGCCACAAGATGTTCGCAGCCCAAGGCTGAACACCAGCAAGGCATATACAGTGGTGTTTTCCTTTCTGAAGTTGGCATCAATGGCAGACTTTGGAAATTACAAAACTTGGGAAGGACTACCTAAATATTTATAGTAGCATTGTGAGGACTTGTGTCCTCAAAAAACAGCCCAGGCACAAAAATAACAAGTGGGGGCGCTGAGTGCTAGTGTTTAGGACACAGCCACACAGTGGAATAAAGTCAACTGGAAGGAACGGGGGCTGTAGGGATGTCCAGCAGGCAGACGCAGCTAAGAGTAAGCACTGGCAGCGAGAAGCAGAATATGGGACAGGAAACTCCCTCCCTGGTTGCCAGAGAGCATTAGATTAATTGTTCACAAGATTGAGGTCCCATGTTTACTCATCCCCCCGTATAGAAGTCTTCATATATATTAGTTACACTAAATTTATCTATTTATTTTATTTATTTATTTTTTTAGTGGGGCTGGGATCAAACCCAGGGCCTCACACATACTAGACCAACACTAGCACTGGGCTATATACTCCAGCCCCACCCTAAACTTTAAATGGCCTCTCTGTTTAATACTGTTTGGTAGCCTACCACAGTGCATAAACGGCATGCTACTAGAGTATTAAACATAGAAGCCATTTAAAGTTTATACCATAAAGTTTAAAGGCCATATCAGATATCCAAACCAAGCAGAAAACACCAACACTCATGGGTGGATGACACTGTTCAAGGATTTGCCATGAATAATTCTACCATGATATTTTCCAGTTAGCTTAATGCAGACCATTTGGTTTATCCAGCTATGGGTTAACACAGGACCTCCTTCATACTGTGCCTTCATGAGATTTCAGAGCAGTAAGCTGACCTGGGAAATCGGTGGATTTCACTGATATATGTTCACTGATATATGTACACCGATGTGCTTTAAAAGCCCCTGTGGCTTTTAAGCAATTCACCTCATTTTGAGTGAATTCTTCTCTGTAAGTATAAACAAGAGCAAAAATACTCCGTCTAGAAGAATGTGTTTACATTTGCTGTAAGCACCAACATTATAAACATTTCATAATGTTCTTCTCAAACGGAAAGGAACATCATCCAATTGGGAGGATTGTCAAGGTCAAGGCTGACAGCAAGAGTAACCTTGGGCTGTGTTCTTTCCCTCTCAGGGCTGCAACAGCACAACCTACATTCAGGATGCCTTCCAGCTGCTGCTGCCTGTCCTGCAGGTGTCACATATCCAGACCAATTGCCAGACTCCAGCCAGTTAAAGGAAAGGGCAGGTCCCACGGCTTCATTGAGCACCATGCAAGGGGATGTTTTCAACACAACAGGCCACACACACCCATTTTTGAGGACACTACAAAGCAATTTTGCACAGACAGTATTGAGAATGCAAGTTTAAAGAGAGTTGTCATTTCTCTTAATGTAGAGGGTCGTTTTTACAAATAATTGTGTTTTCTTTATGTTAATTTAAAGTTTCACAGCTCATAATGAAGTTTTCCCTTATGAAATTCATTCACGAGTATTCATTCATGTCCATCCTCCTAGTCAAGCATGCTGAATTTAGTTAGAAATTCAGAAGCAGACCCTGGCTTTCTTTTAATCGTTCAAATTTCTACCTTTAAATGTCACATTCTTATAAGCATTACTTTAAATCAATTCTTGTACTGAACTTTGTCTTATTCCATAAATGTCATGGGCAAAAATAACACTACTTACAGATTTTACCCAGTATGACAAAAAAGAAACCTAAATATCTCTTTATCACCATTCATTCTTGCAACAATCATTTATTGAGCACATACTGTGTTCAGAATAAAAGAACATGAACTCACCCCCATAGAGACAAATATTTCAGATAGAGGGTTTACAATAATTCTTAAAATACTTGAAAACACTAAAACTTTTTCTAATCCTCAAAACATTTGAAGAACAAGGTAAATTTATAGTGTTTTCAATAGTCTGTCAGTTTATCTTCCTACCTTCCTTAAACTTATTTTTATCCCAACTTTATATATGGGGTGAAAATATGTATGAAAAGGAGTATTAAAGAATAGTTTAACTGTGTGTGTGTGTGTGTGTGTGTGTGTGTGTGTGTGAGAGAGAGAGAGAGAGAGAGGGAGAAGGGAGACCCTAGGGATTGAACCTAGGGGTACTCTACCACTGATCTACTGCCCCAGCCCTTTTTATTTGAGACCAAGTTAAAGTTGCCCAGGCTAGCCTCAAACTTGTGATCCTCCTGCCTCAGCTTCCCAAGTAGCGGGGATTACAGGTGAGCACTACCACACCTGGCAAGAGTGCTTCAAAATTGACTTCATATAATCATAAGCCCCTGGTGGCATAATTGCAAAGCTTACAAGTGTTCAAATAGAAAAATGAAAGGGGTTTTAACACAGTAGAATCCCATCACTGCATTTTAAAAATCTACCATACTGATCACACTCACCAGTGGCAAAGGACAGAGAAAGCCCATATGTGGGTCGATTGCTCTATTGATCCCTAGGGGACTTCACTGAAGACCTTGCAGCTAGGAGGAGCATCAACAATGGGCACTTCTCCTGAGCATCTCGCACGCGTTGCAGGGGGGGATTCTGTGTGATGCACCTATTTCAGAACCCCAATGACACTCCTACCAGCAGTGGCAAAAGAAGGTCCTGCCCGGTGGCTATCTCCAAGGCAAATGAAACTTGTGGCTTTGCAAGGGTTAAAAATTCCTTATTCATGTTTATTTTTATTCCCCAGATAGTCAACTGCCTTTGTTCCCAACAGATCAAACAGAGATTTTTTAATGTCATCCTACTTCTCATTAGCATTTCATTTGTCTCTGTCCTGTATTTCGTTTGTATATCTCCTGAAACAGCCAAATAGAAAACATAATTTGCAACCTTGAAAAATAAAATTCTCTGAGGAATCAATTAAAGAAATTTTTTGTCCTTTTCTGATTGCCTGAAATGTTTCTGTGATTTTTAAGTCTGGAGGTGATTAACGGATGAAAATGTTACATTCACCTCTTCATAAATTCAGAATTTTCATGTATACAACAGAGGAAATAATTTTGATTTATAATTTTTCACAACAGATTATTTTTAGCATCAGATAGATTTAGACAATAACTGGAAATATAAAAGAGAAACAAATATTTCCAAAGGAATTAGATTCCCAGACTTAGACTTCAAGCTTAATTGCACCCATTTAGTGCACAAAAAATAAATAAATAAATAAAAATAGAGTAGAAACTTTAAAAAGAAAAAGCAGGATAATTATTAAAAAGAAGTGGTTGGCGTTACTGACATTGCATTTATGTTTTAATGGTATTGTGTAAGAGGTTGCCAGGTGGAGAGAGGGTTCTGTGATCCATGGTCTATGAATTACATTAAGAGAAAATAATCGCTTAACATATATCTGTCCTCCAGGATTTCTCTCTTTCAGTGCTAGCTTTCAACATCACTTTTAAATAATTGCTTCTTTGCTTTGCTTTAAAAGCTGCCAAAGCACAGGATCCAGATCTGGGCAAATGTTAGTCAGTCACTGAATGAATGATTTAGCAGCTTACCTTGGAAGTTTTGTATTCCTTCAATAATCCTTCACATAAATTGGATTCATTGCACTCTACGCAATTACTATCAACAGCATGCCAGATTCTTCTCTTACATCAAGTGCAAAATAAGGTCTAAATAATGAATGTAGTCCTGGGCTTGTGCTTTATTAAATAAAAAAAGCATGCAAAGCATATTTCAAATTCAAAGTAAAATGCATTTCAGAAAAATTTGCTTTGGGATATTGATATGTACAGATCTAAAGGACAAAATTGAGTCCCAAATCTTAAGGCATGGGTCTAAACTTAAATATTCTATCTCTCTGTTAGAAATACCGAGGTGCTACAAAAAAAGTCAAATATGGAGGTGCTCAGAAGTGGGTGGGCAAGGCAAAACTACTTCTGCAGTGTGGTGTGCTCCGGAACCTGGCTAGCCAGGGCGCTTAGGCTGGGGGCAGGTGAGAGGCGGGGTCCACCTGCTTATATACTTAACCTGTCCCAGCGTTGCCCTTCACTTTGATTGAAGGAGTTTGGGGTTACAATCTATGTGATTGGCTAATTTTAAAATTGGGGCGGGCAAAGGGAGGGCCTATAATTATAATGGCTACAATTGGATCCAATAAAGCCTGAATACTGTCTTCTGAAAATGGAGTGCTGGACTTTCTGTTTCTCACACCTCTGAGAATAGAAGTCCCTATTCCCTGTGGATCTCCTCTGCGTGCACAGGAAGCTCATAGTTAAATGAGTAGTGTGACTGTGCAGGCCATGGCGGGAATGAGCAGGGTTGTGTCCACAGCCTCAGCGACACCCACTAGAAAACCAGGGACAGGGTACCTGGGGACACCACAGCCCCAGAGCTCACATGAATGGAGAAGGACCAACAAAGGGTGGAGGGGCTGAAGAAACATGCAGAATCCAGGGCAGAAGCCCGAATGCAGGAGTGGGAGTGTTTCCTTGTGCTTTGTAAAAATCAGCACCCCGAGGGGCTGGTATATGTGGAAAGTCACATTCTCCACGGCTGGCCATGCTACGCTTAGGAAAGAAATGAAGGCAGGCAGATCCCAGGCATAGTCATCCCAGAGGTCTGATTATAACATCTCAGGGAAGCAATTTACAAAGCGAAATAAGCACTGTATCTCTTCTTTCCTAAAAAAAAAAAAAAAAAAAATGTATGGTGTGTGTGTGTGCATGCACTGAACAGATGGGGTTGATCATAATACATAACTTCAAATGATGTTTAATTTTATAAAAGCAATTATTCTACAGGGTCAAGCTAGTTTTTTATATAATGTAAAAAAAAATGGCCTTTGATCTTCCCCTTAAGCATGTTCAACATACTAATGTACAGATCCAGGCTTGGACTCGGTTTCTTAAATTACCATGTTTGTAAAGGCACATCAGAAGAGATCATACTGAAAATCCATCTTAGAACTGCTATTTTGCTCTGCTTTTGTAGTTGATTAGAATTCATAATGCTATAGGAGTGGATTCAGACCAGCGAGCCATTCTTCACATAAAAGAAAACAAATGATGTGGTTAGTCCTGTGTTCTATATTTCTAGAGAGCTCACCCCTTAGGCAGGGTTATGGCCATCATGGGTATGCTTGCTCATACAAAATCGTTCACTAGAATATCAGCTATTAAACAGATTCAAGGAAAGACACCAATCTCTTCATTTTTTCCCCTTAGACCCACAAAATGAACTAGTCTACCCTTTAAGCATTCTACCTTTAGCAATGATTGAATTATTACAACCCCAACAGTAATAGTGATATTTCTGCTATTTCTGATATCTAGGATTATCATCAACTGGAAATAGAAGCTGATTTTGGAAGGCTAGAATTTTGTGTTGGGATTTAAACTAAATTTACCTTCATCTGGATCAGAGAAGATTTTTCTCCGCATGAGCTGCCAGCCAAAAAGCAATAGGATTATGTCTGCCTGTGGTCACTGCAACTCACCTGACAGCCTGCTTCCTCTATTAGTCTCAGAAGAATTCTGTGCTGCAAAAGAAAAAATATGCGTATTTCTTAAATGCCTTCACTCAGGGCAGAAATTTGGGGAAATTGAAATGATCTATCTCCCTGGCCTGGGTTTCACCACCAGGCTTCTCAGATGCTATTTGGAAGAAAAAGTCAGTGTAGAAGCCAAGGCCAGATGGGTGAACCCTTGGCAAAAAGCAAAACTAAGCTTTTGGCTTTGAGTCCTTGCCATTTTTATCTCTCTCTCTGTGTCTTTCTGTCTCTCTCTCTCTCTCTTTAATAGTCAGTACCTGGCTTCCAGAATCAGCTTTTATAACCTGCCCCTCTCTTTCCTATCTCTTGTTCCCCTTCTCTTTGGCTACATCATTTATACTCTCCCTACCTCGTGTGTGTGTGTGTGTGTGTGTGTGTGTGTATACACACATACATACATACACTCACATATATATGTGTGTGTGTGTGTGTGTTCTCCCATACTAAATGGTTATATATATCATATAATTAAGCTATACTTTGTACTGAAGATTGTGTCCTATGTTTTATATGCATTATTCCATTTAATCTTCAAAGTCACCCTGTTGAGACACGATTATAATCTCTACCACACCAGTGAGAACACTGAGACCCTTAGAAGCTATGTAACTGGTCTGAAGTTATAACTAGTGCAACAGAGCCACCATCAAACGCAGATCAGTTTGACCTGACTAGCTAGCATTTTGAACTGCTGTACAGAGTATCTCAACAGAAGAGAAATGTTACATGTTATTTTTAGAGACATCTGAACACTAGATTTATCTGTTTCGCTCTCTGGAAGCTGTGAGTTAGATTTGTAGCTGAAAGCTTTGGTTGTCAGCTTTGGTTGTTTCCATGCAACTGAGAGCAACTAGGACTAAAGAGACACAGAAGGAAGCCACGTGAGGTGATTTGTCCCCTGGGTGGTTCTCGCCACGGGCTTCTTGATCATTTCACAGACATTTACATCAAGCAGCTTCTTGGTC